GGATTCTATGATTCTATGATTTAAAAAGAAAAATTAAGTATTTTCTGCATTTCTAGCTTTTTTTTTTGCCCCTCTCTCCCTAGCTCCTGGTAGAACTCCTTCAAGTTTTCATAAAGTGAATTAACTTCTGTGTGCATATAGTGCCCACAAAGTTTGCTACTTTACTTCTGTTTGTATATTGCTACATTTTAGACAATTTTAGAATACAGTGGGAGCAAACAGTTTGGATAATCTTAATTTTTGTTAACATACCCATTTTCAATTTCTGCCCTTGTTGCAGTCTTCAAACTTATTGGAAAATGGCACCTCATGTGTCTGGCCTGTTACTGCTGGCCTAATAGCTTGGGGTTTTAACTTAATTTAATCCCTGTGCCTACACTGCTGTCTCTCCAGTTCTAGCTTTAAGTTTGAGAATATACAAAATACATTATAGTTGGTGAGCTGTCATCTGAACAGCATTGTTGGACAACTTTGTCTTATCTGATAAAGTGATTTCAAGCAGAAAGAACCAACTGTTTGAGATGGGCAAAAGAACAGCATAACATCTCCTGGGCTGAGTTTGAGACTTGTCATGATCAAATGACCACCCTAGTGAGGCTGAGTTAGGTCTTCTACTCCACCCTCGCTCTTGCTTGAGTAATGACAAGGGATATTGGGTGTAGTGTACAGTTATAAAGAGCTTCCATGATGGCCCCTTAAGAATACTCACAACAATTCAGTGCTGGCTTCTTTGCTAGGCCTTGTCAGCATGAGTATGTGCGAACTGTTGAGCTGTCTAACCTCTGCAGTCGTGATGAAGCAACTGCAAATTGCAAAAAAAAAAAAAAAAGAAAAAAAAAGAAACAAACCAGAACCTCTTTAGAATCACGAAGAAAATAAATCAATCTGTTTTCCATTGAAAGGTTAGCTACTAAATTGCTCTGTGGCTTTCTATGACATGATCTGGGCATGGTCTAGTTTAGCACTAAGATTCTTCATGTCTGGTGTACTACTGAAATCTGACTTAAGTTAATACAGTCCTGAAATTCAATTTTGCCTTTATTTTGTTGCAAGTGCTAATACTGTAGCTATCATGCTGTTTAAATACTATAGCATTCTTAGCACTGGGAAATATGAAACCAAATTCTGGATGAAGATGGTAGCCCTTCAAAGCTTCAGGTCTACAGAGTTCAGTACCTAGCTCAGTAATAAACTGTCTGGAAGACCTCACCTAAATCACAGTCTCCCTTGTGCCTTAGTATACTTGTAAAATGGGAATAATATCTTATATATCATAGCATGCCTAAAAGATGAAATCCATGAATATTCGTAAGGTTTTTAGATGCTACAGTAATGTGGGCCATGGAAATGCCTAGGGAGCTACTACCTTTATTTGTGCATTGAATTAGCCTTGGAATAGATTCTTGTCTAACAGCCTCATCATTGCCAAAAAGCACAGGATTAAAAGCAAAGCGTGCACATGAGCAGTGGAGTCAATGGAATTCAGTGATGCAATCACTAAGTGATTCCATCTGTAACTGCAACTACACAGTATTGGTTTTAAAGGTGAGAAACTTTAATGGAACTTAGATGGTAATATTGTCATACCAATTTCATTCAGGAGTCACAAAATAATCACTATAAGCAGTGTATTAAATTACTTTGAGACAAGTCTGCTCATAGACTTAAATTCTCTCATGAAGAAATAAACAAAATGAAATGGGCCAGTCTGTGTACTGGTGCTTCTCAGAACTTTGGGCAGATGTATGTGGATTTATCATCCATACACCTGAAGAAATAGCTGGATTTGTCTCTTCTCTTTGCCCTCTTACAATGATTTTTAAATTTTACTTATTCTGTAATTATGATCTGCTTGTTACTTTTCCAGTAATTTCTGAATTACTGTATTTTTTTTTTAAATTAAAAGATTTCAAGAGAAAATTAAGATTGGTATACACTAACTCGATTAGTGCCTGAAGTTCAGTATTTGCTAACTACAGTACCCCTCTGACTGTTATTAATTGTTAGCAACTTGAGTTATTTGGTGGTCAAGGCTAAGTTTGAAAATCAAATAGGAAAACCAAGGTGAAAGCCATTTCTAAATTTATTCTCTAAAATACAAAATACACTCCACATGCTAGAGAGGCTAATGAGCTGAAAAAATTGCTTAGATACTCTATGCAGTCTTAGGTGATAGTTTAAATTAATTCCTCTCTGAATGTTTCGAGGATGGTTAGATGGCCTTTTTTTTTTTTTTTTTTTTTTTTTTTAAATAAACATTGTCAGTCTGAAGCAAGCCCGAAAAAAATCAATACTACGCCAAGTCAGTGCTTTTCCATTCCCTAATTCAGCTCTCCCAGAATTCGTTCATCCTGGTTGCGTGAGCGCAGGCGTGCTGGGGCAAGGCAGAGAGGCGCGGGAGGGCAGGGTAAGCTGCCGGAGTGCTGGAGTTGCCTTCCAGCGGCAGGGGGGAAGGAAGGGCTGCCTACCGTCCGTCGCCAGCTTCCGCGACTGCCCCGACGTGGTGGTCAGGCGGAACCCGGCCGGCAGCGTTTCCGACGAGCCCGGCATCATGCTGATCCCGTGCACCTCCCGCGGGGGGAACTGTCGGCGCCAGGAGGGGCCGCGTCTGAAGTTCTTGTCATCGCTCTGTTAACACAGAGTTACGATGGGTAAAGCAAAATGAATTTTTTTGATTCATTATCCTGCTGTCTGCTGCCTCTCCCACTGTCAGATGTACTCCACAACCAACACCCTGCTCTCTTGCACTGCATCCAGCAAGTGCAATGTATTTGAGACACTCTCGTGAAAGTTAATACTTTAGAAATATTAAATGCTAGGGTGGAAAACTCTTCTTAAGTCTCTGGCTCGATATAGTAGAGGGTTTTAGTATCAGCTAAAGTAGAACTTCCTTAAAAGTCAGATCTCTTCCAAATACAGTGACAGAAAGCAGTTTGTTACTGCATTTAGCAGGCTTCTGAAAGGTGCTAATAAGGAATTAAACACTCATGTGCATGCACAGAATTCACAAGCATCTCACATTTTCAGCAAGCCCTTGAAAGTTTTATTCCTCCTCACATGCAGAAGTCCACGACTTGAACATTTTTGCACTGGACTTTACCTTAAGATGAGTATTTTCCATAAGTGGATTTGAGATTCACTATCCTAGATAGCTGCCCCAAATCCCACTCTATTACATATTGATTAACTTTAAAAAGCCAAATAAAACAACCTCACAAAAACCCCCATTTTTCTTCTGTCCTAAAAAATAGGTTGCAGTGGCAACCACCACCCTGCCACATGCTCTGGCCAGTGCAACTTCCACTCTGTCCTGTATGCTTCCTCTATGGAAAATTTCATCTTAAGATAGGAGTGCAGTGTCAAATTTATCATTCAAAATGATACAAATAGGTAGCCATACTGAGGTTACTTTAAAAACCTTGACTGGCGTTTCCAATTTTTTTCTTAAAGCTGTAACTTTTTAAACTACAGACAAATTAACATCTCTTTGTGCATTAAATTTATTTTATATATTTTACTGTGATATTTTATAAATACTGAAAATAAAATTAATTACTTCCTCAAGTCGTCTTTCAGTTCCTAGTGCTAAAAGGTTGTTGTATTCTCTCTCAAGGATCTGCCGTGCCTAGAAATACCAAAGTGAAAAATTAAAATGGTTGAAGATGAATAAAAGGCAATAACGGGTACAGGTTAACCAGAAGTAGCATGAGAAAACTTGCCTGGGTGTTTTGTGTTGGAATCTGTAATAATAAAGCTAAACTGCTGTAATCAAAGTTTTCATCCAGTGCTATAAGTGAACCATGTACACCACTTTCTAGGATATTATTTGCATATTCTCGGAGGCCAATAGCTTGTATCCAGCGTATGACTCGATCATTGCTCCATACCAGCACATCTGCAAGGACATAACACTGCTTCAGTCTCCTGGTATCTGGTAACTTCAGACCTGATCAGGTGCATGCAGGTAGTTGTGCATGCACTGTGGATGTCACACTGCTTCATTTCTTAAGTGAGGAATGCCAGCAAATGATTCATACAGCTTTAATATCTCCTGTTCAAAACCCTGTGTGATTTTAGCTACTTTCAAGTTAAACATTTATTCTAAATAATGTTTCCGAAGGAGAAAGGTGCCTCCAGAGGGCAGCTCCAGAATGTAATTCCTCCCACCTCTGATAGATACCCTTCTCAATTCTTAGGCAACATTTTACAGTTCAACACTGCAAGGGCACAGGGGAAATATCTGTTCCTCAAGACTTCACTTCAGAGTTTTGCATTAAACGTTTTGAGAGTCAGGTCAGCACCTACTATTTTATAACATGCCATAAAGCAAATGATGACTTCACAATTTTAGAGACTAAAATTATCTTTAGTTCAGAAAGCTGGCTGAGCTGTTAAGGACCATGCCAATTATAAAGGTAAGGCAACAAAATGAGCTAGAAAACCTTTTTTTTAGGATTTGGCTATTCTTTGAAAAGTATCATCCGCTGCCTGGAAGATTAAAAGAAAATTACTTATACTGATCTCCATACTTGTGAGAGGGAACTCTAATACTGAGTTTTCTTTTACTAAGTGATGAAGCTTTTCCTGAACTCTTAGAAGTGCAGCTAATGTAGCTGTTCTGGGAGCAGGCATACTCCATCGCCTGACCAAGAGCATCCCAGGCTTTGGGGGTTGGGATCAGCGTGTCAGCCAGGGATTCCTATGACCAAATCCTACCTGTGACTCTGTCTAACTGATCAAAGCAGGACAGGGTGAAGGCTGGGTGAAGGACACTACAGATTATTACCCTTGTCCTAGTGGTGGCTAGCATTGAAGCAACACCAGCACCTGAGCCCAACACCCAACTCCTCCATGTCAGTCCCCAGCTGTACTCACTCAGGCTGACTGACACTGATGCCTCCACATCCAAGGCAAAGACTGTGCATTAGTGCATGCTGTCATCTGCCTCGAGCAAACACAGGCCTGCACTGTGTGTGCCCTTTCCCCCTTCTAATTCCCTTTCTTCTTTTCAGCCCTTCCAATCAGCACTGTGCTTGACAATTGTTAACTGCTGTATTCACTAGAGCTGGAAATGCATGAAGGAATCAAAGTAATTCACTTCTGATAATGGAAAAAAACCAGCATCCCTAATTGTTATATATAAAAGGAACCATGCAGACAGCCTGCAATTACTCTGGAGAGCTTTACACAGAAAAATATTTTAAAATCAGCTGTTAAATTTTCTAATAAGGCCAGTTCTGTTAAGAACTGTTCTTAAATACCAACCAACTGCCTCACTGGCCAGCCCTCCAAGCAAGGTTTTCTATGATACGCATTTTGAAGTAAGAAATCAAAGGCAAAGGTTTTCAAAAGCAGGAGCACAGTGTTAGGGTTCTGAATGCTCCCATTTTCCAGAGTTGCCCCCAGCACATCCCATTGAGCTGCAGGCGATCTGGCCTTCAGCTTCTGAGACTGAAAGAGGCTAGGTTAGGATCTGTCCCCAAAATCCAATTTAGCAAAATCTATGTATCCAACCACCATTCAGAATTGCAGCCCCAATTTAGGAAAGTACTTAACCATGCCTAATTTAAGGAAATATTTTGTGCTCTGAAGACAAGTGGACTTACATTATTTTTACTTAAAGAACATGCTTAAATGCTTTGCATTAAATGGCATGACAAGGGTTTAATAGTGTCAAGCTTCAAAAGAAGAAACATTCCCAGTATTAATTCCCAGGAACTATCACCTTTTATTTCATGCTGACTCATTTCTCTTCGCTTTTCCAGTTCTTTTCTATCATAATTCAACCTCTTTAAACACATGATTCCATATTGCAAGCTTGTTCTGTTATTTAAAGAGAAACATTTACAGAGTTAATAAAGGTAAGTTTGAAGATGGAAACATATGTAGGATGTATTTCCTGTGTTACAAATGAGGTGTTTCCTGGTGCCCATGTAGCAAATCTTGAGGACAGAGGGGGGAGTAAAACCATTAAAAAAACTCTACAGACCTCAAAAATGAAACGGACAAAGCCCAAATGAATAAGTTTGCATAAATTTTCTATCAAAAGAAACCCAAAATATTAAAAATTGTATTCGGAAAAGGTCAGCCCTTGCAAGCAGTGAAATTTTTTGTCAAACCAAGCCTCAAAAAAGTGACAAATCAGATAGCACGTTAAAAAAAAAAAATCCACTTCTTGTCACATAAATGTCAATTTGCCTAAAGTCTACATGCCTTGATTTCCATATTTCCAATTTAGCTTCCTGGCTATATCCCTAGATAACCCGAACAACTGTCAATTTGCTTGTACTGTTAACAGCTTTTATGTGCTACACACAATAACTTTTCATTATTATGAGATCTCAGGGCTTCAATTCTTAGTCTACCACTTTCTGATACTTTAAATCACTTAATAAGTTATTACTGTTTCTTTATATGAGGGTTTATTCATATATTAATGGTTCCCCATTCATTATGAAATTTATCTATCAATATCTCAATTTTGAGAGACATAATTGCAATATGGTTGCTATTACTAAAGGAATCTCTCTCAATTCCTATTTTTGACACTCAGCACCCGTTTTTCTGTGTGGTTTTCCACAGCAGAACAAACGAAAGTGTTTTTATTCTGTGCAGCACTGAGCACTAGGTCAGACACACAAGCATCTTTATAGGCCTAGTCTTTATGGCAACCTACCGATGAAAGCTATCCACCATTTTTAAGTGCACACGCAGGTCTTTCTTTGTCAGGTGATCTAACATCCTTGCATCTACCAGGCATTCCATAAAATAACTTCGGTACTGAGGTAAACCCAGACTGGGGAGCCATTCGTTACCTATCCATTCGTGGTTCATATCACCATAAGCCAGGGTCTACAGGGGGAAAAAAACCAAAAAACAGAGAGCAGGGGAATAAATTCTTGAGGTTGTTCAAGATTGCACCACGGACTAGAGACAGAATATCTATCTGCAATGCTTATTTCTACTGAGGCTTCCTAGCTTAGAGATCCTGTCTACAAAAAATCCATTCAGTTTTTACATTGTTTTGACATTGAAAGTGGAAGCCACTGTGAGATATTTACTAATGATTGCAGTTTTGGCTGTTGTATCTCGTTATCTCTCTTTGTAAGTGTTAAGCTTTTTTTTTTTTTTTTTTGTAATAAGAAATTGTAGCTTCAATTCTGAGTATTAAATGCAAGCAAACTTATCACACACCCAAAATGTGTTTGTTTCATAATCTTGCTTTCAACTGATCTTCTAGAATATTTATACCAGCTAAATCCTACACGGAACGTGGTAATACAAACATGGCTCCAGGGAATCAGCTGAAGTTTGTGTCACTGTCTGGTGGGGGCTAGGGTTTCCTAAATACGGATGAGTGGATCCAATGCTCCCTCAGTAAATTTGCAGATGACACCAAGCTGGGCAGGAGAATTGATCTGCTTGAGGGTACGCATGCTCTACAAAGGAATGTGGACAGGCTGGATCATATATAAAAAAACCACAAGCATGTTGAGCTATTTTTGTATGGGTTGCACTGTTAAAATGCAAAATTGGTAGATTTTATACCTCACAATTGAAAATTATTTTGTACTACTAAAATTTAACAGAAAAGAGAACTCTTAAACTGCAAGAGTAACACCTCCTCGACAGATTTTGCTTTGCTTTGCTCTGCTTTAGAGCACCTCGTTCAGGCCTAACTATCTTTTTGGTTTTCTTTTTCCTGTCTCCTGTCATTACAAAAAAATTGATAATGTAGTTCAAACGATATATTTTCTATGGGGGAAAATATGGTCCCCTCATCTCTCATTTTTGTGAGATGTCAAAGAGAAAAGAAATGTTAGAAATAAAGACCGTAAGACTGTGTAAGAGTGCACATATATTAGAGAGAAAGAAGTTGAAAAATGCAAGTAATTGATAGCCTAACTGAAGTGAAAAATTTTGTTCCTAATTATACAAGACTATTTCTAGACTAATACTTGGGTTAGATTTATCCAATTGTTCTAAAAAGAAAAAAATCTGGTGTAATTTTAGAAATGTTAGATCTCAAACTCTTGGCATATTTTATTAGTCTGTTCTTAAAATTGAGGAAAATATTTTTTTCTAGATTCTGCTGGGAGGTAGAACACCTCTCTGGAACGTAGCCATTTCTTCTAGGAAAAATATTTACAGCATATGCACCAGTACAGGTTGGGGG